GGACCTGCAGCGGAGTTTAGGCCCAGACACGGCTAGTGACGTCAGACTGAACAATCGGATTGTGAGCTGCAGCTGGAGCCCCCTGGTGGGCTGTGGAGGCACTGCAGGTACATGTTTGAAGTAGGTAGGTATATAAATGTATTTATCCATCCATTCGCTTCCGCTTATCCTTTTTCAGGGGAGAACATGCAAACTCCACACAGAAAGACCCTGGACTGATGGTGGAATTGAACTCAAGACCTTCTTGCTGTGCGGAAACAGTGCTAACCACCGTGCCACCGTGCTGCCTTATGTATTTCTTTATATAAAATGTGAATTAAAACTGTTAGTAGGTGGTGGTCAGTTTGTGATATTACTCATTACACTGACCTAAATATACGAGACTGATTGAAGTTTGTCTCAGAGTGGCATGTGGGTCGTACACAGACCTTAACACTAAGGTAGCATTAGCAATTTATAACCAACTGCCTGTGCTGTCTATGTTTTTTGCATAAAATTTTCAATACAACACTTTCTTTTGCATTTTTTTAGTAAAAAAATATAAGATTGGGTGAGGCCCACGAGATTTTCACTAAAATGTACAAACTGACTTAATGTTTCATTCGGAATAGCCCCAAAATAATCAACTGAGCCCATAAACTTTTCAGCAAAGGGTTTACACAGGTGGACACGGCGTGAGGGCCATGTCCACGAAGATTTCTATACAACTAGATATCATTTTGCAACCACAGCTCCACTTTTCTGACCCAGAAGCTGCGTCCAATTTTTCATACTGTCTGCAGTTCGTGACATGTAATTTCAGACCCTTTTAATAGTTCTCTGGTGAAACCATTTGAAAGCAGTAAGCTTATTGAATATACTGACCTTATCCAAGTAGTTTTCTATGTTACATAACTAGTAATTTCACAGAGAAAGGAGGGCTTCGTGGCAATGTGTCTATATTCAGTCGAGTCCTTTGAATTTGATACAAAATCTGATGCAAGACCTTCACTAAAAATTTGTGTTATAGAAGACTGGCATCTGCTCTTTAGAAGGGATGAATGTAAAGAGGTGTACTGTCTGAATTAATAATTAAAATGCCTCTATTCTCATGTTTAACCTTAAAGAAACTCTGATGTTTTTATAGGCTATTAGAGGTAACCGGGAGAGATGAAGACAGTCTCGCTTTTTACTTTTCATCCAATAAGACGTTGAAAATGAGCTTAAAATAAGAATTTATTACATGAAAAATACTTAAACAGAACACCAAGCTTTCCCTGTCTGAATTCTCATTTTTATGTTTCTAAATCTCGCTGAACTCGGCGTGCACGGCAAACACGGAGTAAGTGCAAATATTAACTTCTCAGTTCCAATCGATTAATGCAGAGAAAGCAGCGATGGGAGTCCAGGGGGGGATTTTCAGTTCACTGCAGAGGACAGAATGGCCCCTCAAGCCCTGCTGAGAAAACAAAAGCTATGAGATATTTGTCCACCCCCTCTTTTTTTTATTTTGGGAAAAGAGCAGACACATCAGCCTCATGGTCAGCTCCACTCCTTGGAACCACAACACTATATAATCATCAGGAATCTTCTCTCCATCTCAGCCTGTAAAGATTTATGTAATTACCTTTGTGTCTGCAGAGCATTCTGAAAAGCTTTTTATAGATAAGATGCATGCTCAGACACTCTCACACACACTGCTGTTTCATTGAGGATGATTAGGATATGGAGGAGACCCCCGTTGTCCATTATCTTTTATCCTCTCTGATAGGGTTGGGTTCATTCAGATCTGCTTAATTGAAATGCAAATGTATGCACATCTTAAATGTAATGTCATCTTTTAAAACTGTTCCAGTTACACTAGAAAGATTTTCACCAGGAAAGCACTGTGAGGAAAAAACATCCTTAGATATGTTCTTGAAAATGAAAATCCTAGAGGAGCAGAGACTGTTTGTAATCAAACACCTCACTGAGCTCAGTGCTGAGGAAAAGAAAAGGCCCGTCTTCACTCTTTCTACACTGGTAAGCAATTCAAAATTGTGTGCATACACTAATGTGATATTCTCCTTTCCAGCCCTATGACTGTGCGAAAAGGAAAACGTTTGGGCATCACCATCCAGGAGCACATGGCCATCGATGTCTGCCCGGGGCCCATACGCCCCATTCGTCAAATCTCCGCCTACTTCCCTCGCCTCTCGCCCACTTCCTCCTTCTCCGAGCCACTCTCGCCCAATCAGGTGGCAGCGCCCACAACGCTCAGCCCTGGCAGCACAGGTCAAGCTGGAGGGCCCATGGGAGGAGGAGGGGGGAGCAGTGGCCTTTTGTCGCCACAGTTACCGGGAGCGGCGGGGGGAGGGGGCTCCCTGTCAGCCATGAGCAGCATGGACACCTCCATTGAGATCGACAGCTGTGACAGCGATGATAACAGTGAGTCACCTGGAAGTGTCATTGAAGCAACCTAATCTAAGAGCAAATAAAATTAAGTCAGTGCACATCTGGTTTACTTCACCACTTGAAATATTGAAAGAACTTTGCACTGCAGCAAGTGCACCATGCATAGTCTGCAAAAGGACTCCAACTTTATTGTAAGAAAAAAAAAGCAACTTTCCTTATCAGATTACCTCAGAATATATCAAAGTTTATTAATCTGGCTTTTTAAAGCTACAGTTCCCCGGTGAATTCAGTAGTTTGAGACCACAACATGACCAAAATTATGCTGGACATCTGCAATGAACTTGCAATTTCATTGTCATGCATTCGCTCACAGTCAGTTGCCATCTTCAGGGCAACCTTTGTACATCAGGTTGGCTATAAAATAGCAATTTTGTTTGCAATTAACTGCAATAAATTGGCTAAATTGGTAAATTCACATAAACTACAAGCATTCAGAGTCCAGCCAGAACCTCAAAGATCTGAAATTCACAAATTCCTGCTTTAATGTTGAGGTACAGTCTGCAGGGCAATGATTTAATTGCTGAACGACATAGGTGCTTGACAACCTTGTTTTTATATAAGAAAGTAACCAGAACACAGCTATTTGGCAGAGAGTCCGAAGGTTTTTAATCACCACGTTGCCTGGTGGAAGGCAGCCTTGCAGGCTGAGGGTGTTGCACAATAAACCTCTGACGAACCAGCTGGTCGCTGCAGCTACTTGTAGTGAGTCCATAAATGTTAAAAAAATTCAATTCTGTCACCAAGAAACCTCTCAGTTTTCTTAGTTGCAAGGAGGCTGTGGTCTTATTTTTACTAAAAGCGCGCAGAGCGATGTGCTTTTTGTTCTCCATCTTCAGGACCATGTAGTTTTAGAGGAATATAAGCGTCTCATGTAAATGCAGTGGGATTCTCTGTGCAAGTCCCAATAAATTCCCCTTTACACCTTTCCTTGACCTATTGGGGTGGGAAGCAATTAAATACAAGGATAAAGGTTTAGAAAGCATCAAAAACAGGAACTAAAACAACACGAGAAAACCTTCAGAACAAAACAGAAAATACCAGAAACTACAAATACACAGAGTCATGAAAAGTAAGACTGTAAATCTAACAGGGACCTCGGAGACCACCAGAAGAAAAATACCACCAAGGATAAAAAAGGACAGATCGTTTAATAAACATGTACCAAGACTTGAGTATAAAGTTTTGTAGAAGTTTCCGGGTACTACATTAGAGGTCAACCTCTACACGGGAATAGCATTACAAAGGATGAATGAAAGACATGTCATTCAGTTTAAGAGTTGCTAGGAGATGGGTTTTTATGTGTTTTTGGGTAGAAGCAGTGTAGCCGCTTTAGGTTGTTTCCATGCTTTATGCTGAGGTCAGCCACCCAGCTGCTGTCTGCAGTACATGCACTGCAGTTTCAATCTTTCTCTATCAACTCCCAACAAGAAGGGAAATATTTTATGTATTCCTTTCAAACAAAGAAAAGATGTTTTCATAAAAGTCTGAGCGAATTCAATTTCTCCTTCTCATCTGCTGTTTGTGTTTCTCCCTGCCATCATTCTCCATCTGTTTTGCAGATAATAAAGTCATCAGCTCAAAAGCAATTACCAAAGTAAATGGCGCAGATTTGTGTGTGTGTGTGTGACTTTTTATTAACTGCCTTCCAGCCTCTTTGGGGACGCTAGAGTTTGACCTACTGTACGAGAAAGCCACCAGCTCCCTGCACTGCACAGTCCTCAGAGCAAAGGTAAATCCCGAACTCGGAAAACTCCATTAGAGCCACTGCAGCTGAACCAAGATACAACTCAACAGCATGTGTTTTTTGTTCTACTGATTAAAAAAAAGAAGAAGAAGAAAGAACCCTTCAAGTCTTAGTCTGTTAGTTGTTTTAAATGTTGAAAACATTTGTACTGCGATCTTCTTTTGTACATGGCTTGTATCTTTTCTGAAAAGGGTCTAAAGCCGATGGATTTCAATGGTCTGGCCGATCCCTACGTCAAGCTGCATCTGCTGCCAGGCGCCTGCAAGGTCTGATTTTCTTATCAGAACAGAGTTTTTGTCCCTAAATGAAAGATGCCTTCAGTATCGTGTCACAAGGACTCTGAAGTGCAGATTTAATTCATGTTGCATTTTTTAGCGTTATGCAATGAAAACTAAAGTGCAGACCAATAAATCGGCAATGAAGCAAAATGACCTTGTAGATTGTAGGAACTGAACTTGTTTTCCTCGCGGAGGTTGTTTTCCGTTTGTCTCTCCTCGACAAAGCCTGGCATTAAATTGATGTTTTCTTCTCTCTGCCCATCACTTACAGGCCAATAAACTGAAGACCAAGACTGTTCGCAACACGCTGAATCCCATGTGGAACGAGACGCTCACCTACTGTGGAATCACAGAGGAAGACATGTACCGCAAAACACTCCGGTAAATGTTTGCTCTAGGAAAGGCTATTTCTGTCCTCTTCATGCCCTGCCTTTCTGTTTATCATTTCCCATCGCAAAGCTGACCCGTGCTTTACAAAGGATTTTCTTATCATCCGTCTCAATCACAGCTCCTGGTTTTATTTGCCTTTCTCCATTTTGCCATGTTGCTCCTCTCTGTTTCCATCTCCACTGAGATCCTCTTCACCTTTGTTCCTCCCCATCCTCACACTCTCCTGTCCACCAGGATCAGAAAAGATCTCCCCTCACTCGTTCTGAACCACTCCTTTCTCTTTGTCTCTCATTCAATCTGGCTCCTTGCTTTCTCTCTATCCAAGTTGCAGTGACAGATTGAGGTCAGACTGAGCTCCGCGGGGTGTTTTAATTTCATTGACCCCCCTCTAGAGGTGACGAAAGCTGCGAATTGTTTCTGCCTGTGACTAAAACTTTGCCGTGGCACACATGGGAGTGGGATTTAAATAGGATCGACGGATGATCTCTCCAGGGAAATTAGAGAATCTGGCAGTGTTAATTCAGCAGAGACATGTAAAGATCAGGAGATGGGAAGTTGAACTTAGGTAAACATGGAAACATGTCACCATCGATCTGTGAAATACAGTGTCTTTAAAATTGACAAACTTCTGAGAGCACGAGATTCAAAGGATTGTTTCAAGCAGTCACTGTGGACACGTTTGGTGTCAGCTCCTAAGAATTTAGGAGTTTCTGATTTTTCCAAAACAAGCTAATGCTACAGTCACACTGGGGAAAACAGTGTTTCAAGATGATGGCACAACCAAAATTGCTGTAAGTCTGTGCAATGAACCTCTGGTCTTGTTGGATTAGAAATATTTGAAGATAAAGACCAGGTCTGCAATCACTCGAACTCAGCTACCGTCTTTAGAGCAACTTTAGTGGAACAAGACGACAATGAACTGGCAATGAGATGCCATTGGTTTGCAACTGAATGGGGTCAAGTTGGCAATTACATGCGATCTGTTTGTGTAACTATAGAAGGTAAATGGTATAAATCAGCAAAAAGCTGTTGCCTCTGATATTCAGGGTCAAGCCAAAACCTCATAGGTCTGAAAGAGAAATTCCTCCATAAACAGTGATTGCGGGGCAGCAACTTTAGTCTAAAAGCTAAAAAAATTAAATACATTAAAATAAAAATTTAATGCAGTCACTGGGCACCACCAGTTTTTCTCAGTTGCTAGGAGTTTTTTAACTCTAGTGTGACTGACCCATAACGTGACAAATGAAAGCTTTTAAAAGGGACAATAAGAAAATGCAAAATCAACGTGCAGAAGAAGAAATCATCAGTATTTTATAAATTACTTTGATACTTTTTTCCTGTTTATGTAGCTATGTCATTACGGTAGTTACATGGATAGCTACTAGAGTTAGCGTGCTAAGTAGCTAGCGCCCATATTCTTTGTACCTGATGAGGTGATCGTCAGTGATCGCCCTCAAAGAAACAAACTGTGCTGCCCAGATCAATGTTTTCTCTTTTCTACAGTCTGGAAAAAAAATCATATATTTAGACCAACAATGAATTAAACAGTAAAATAATGATGGCTGACGCTCTTGGTGACTAACAGCTGTCGCCATGCTGGAGAGCAGGATAGATACAATAGGCGGCTGAGAAGGGTTTGTTTTTAGTATAATACATATCGCCCTCTTATTTGCCTCCACTTCCTCACACACCACTTACAATATTCTCTGTTATAGCCGCCAGCATCAGGTGACACTAAGCTTTGGAGGTGTTGCCCTGCAACAAGCTGAGACTGCACAGCTTATCCTGTTATGATGATTTGAAATTGCAATAAAATCATCCATAATTGTTTCTTACTCTGTTCCAACACTGATTTAAGCAGCCTTTGACTAAGTATTTAAACAAGCACATGTAACATCACGATAAAAGCAGAGTACTTCAGGTCATTTAATCAAACACTGACCTCCTCTAAAAAAAACCAAAAAAACAATTTGCTCTTTTTTTATCAGTTATCATCATCTCTGTTCTATGGAGCATGGATAGATGGATGTAGCTGCTGTGACGTCACCTGTTGCTTTGTTAAGTCCTGTTTTTAAGCCACATGAGAATCTTGGTGTTTTGAAACTAGATTAGCCCAGCAAGGAGTTGATCTGACTGTGAAATCACACATCTCTCTGCACGATCTATCTTTCTGAAAGTTAGAGAAACAAAATTTACACCTTAGGCTTTTTTCCCACTCGAAATGAGCGACTGAGTCCATAACTCATCAGGAAAGTGTAAAAGGAAAAGTCAAGGGCCATTTACCACAGATTTCTGCATGATCATAACGTCACCTTATAACAAAGTTGCCGGTCTTGTACCTCTCTTTTATAACTTGTGTTGCTGTCGCAGCCAGATTGAAGACATGTATTTAGGATCGTGTCAGTTTTTACTGCCATTTTAATGACATATCAGCAGAAAACTCAGATTCACAGATTACACAGAGCAGGATGCTGCAACAGTGTTAAAAAACTGGCCACTTCTCCTGCTAACTAGTGCTGATGTGAAGGTATTGTCTGATTGGGGACACCGATCATTCAGGAGCATATTGTAGGGAGTACCAGCACCAAAACACTGAACTTGAAAGGATGTGACTATGATGACGTTACTAGCAGCACGCAAAGTGACAGGGTGGGTTTATTGAGAGAATTATGCCTCAGCAGGAAATATCTAACTACGCAGAAATGGGAAACTCATTTTAACCCTACGCTGTAACCGTCCACATAACCTGATGTGATGTAACTACACATCCGGTCAACGCATACCACAACAACTTAAATGCCGTGGATGGTTGCGGTTACGGCATCCCGCAGAAGTCTAAATCAAGCTCAACTGTTTTTGTAACCACAGGTATCGCCTCCTTGTGGTCATTTCAAATGAATGCGCTATCACACTCCGTGTGTAGGACCACAGCCCAAAAGCCACAAGTCAAAATTAAGGTTTTTTTTCTGAAGCTCAATTTGGTTTAAAAGAAGAAGAAGAAAAGTATGTGGAACTAAAGAATAAACATTTTGCTATTTTATCTTATTATTTATCAATGTTTGACTCAAAAAGTCACAGGTTTTGATAACGTTTTCTACGTTTTTAGCCGGAAATAGACAGCAGGCAGTCACAGTGAGACTTCATCTGTATATAAGGTGATGCTGGTATGTGTAGATCAGATTCACCCCCCTGCTTGGGTTCACATTATGGATGATGGCTGATGCGTCAGTAATTACGAGCTGTCACAATGACACTTAAATGTTTTTATTACTTGATGTCCTGTAAGTGAAGCCTTACATCCAGCTGGTATTATAATGGCTCCATCTTTCTTCCCTCTTTGACCCATCATTTTCTCACTTACCACTTCACCCTCGAGCTGTTTTACACCATCTTTCTCCCCTTAGCGCCAGCTGCTGCTCTCATCTGCGCTCATCCCCCCCTCTCTCTTCATCATTAGTTTTGTCTTTTTGATACTCAATGTTTTAGATTGAGGAAACTTAAGTCACTAAACTAGATATTAACTCTCGGTATTTTAACAGATTATTGTCTTTTATTATCAGAAACTGAAGACAAACGTTGCACCTGTGGTTATGAGTTTAGTAAGAAGTCAAATGAAGCAGTAGATGGGGAGGCAGCATGTTTATATACCAATCTCTCCTGTGGCCGATTGCTTTCTTGATTTTCTTCCTCCCATTGTATGTCTTTCATTCATATTTACATAAATTAAAGAGAAAAGGTGCTGGGCTTCAGTTAGCTTGTAACATATCACTTCACATGTTCATTTAAATAGACTAGCCTGTTTTCATCACGTCACTCAAATCCTCACAGACACAGCATCCCTGCATCTCCTTCACTCCACTCTCCCCACCCGCCCACTAGTTTATTTCAGGCACTATTATGGCAGGTGTAAAAGTTTGCCAGGCCCATAAATATGGATTGACGTAACCTAGCATGATGCACTTTCACATTATATAAATTCCTGCAGGAGGAAAATGGTAATTACTTCTAGTCTGAACACACACACTCACACACAGGCCTGATTTACATGTAGCGTCGGTCACTTTCTGACTCTGTTACTTTATTCAGGTCGTGTTTATGTCAGTGATTTCCCTTCCCTAAAATGACTCATGATATTGTGTTTGACTACCACACTCCATCACACACAAAAAGCACTCTCCCTCTGATTACTTTACATTTTCTGTCATATCAGGGTCATTGTAGGTCTAAACAAATAAAAAGGGTGGTGGGGAGGCAGATGATGACTTAACAAAAAACTTTTATTTTTAGTAAAACTTTGAATTATCTCAGATATTATACAATACTATGCAAAACCCTTGACTCACCCCTCATTTCTTTATATTTTGCTCAGAAAATGAGAAATGGGTGCAGTGACTTGTTAAAACATGTGCAAGCATATGTAGAAATTCAATCTTGTAATAAATGCTGTCAGTCAGTATTTGGTGTGACCACCTTTAAGGACATTCAAAGCTCTTCTTTGGATGTTTCTGCCTTCTGTTATATTCTCTGTCACGATGATCCCACACTGCTTCAGTAATGTTGAGGTCCGGGCTCTAGGGAGGCTAATCCATGATTGATAGTGCGCTACTGTGCGGTTTCCTATCCAGGTATGCTTTTACCGTGCTGCATTGTGTTTGGGAGCATTGTCATGCTGAAAAATGAAGCTGTTCATGCTTTTCAGATGGTTCTTTTCTGCGTCCATCATTTTTGACAAGATGGCCAACACCACTGCCTGAAACGCAGTTTGAAATGCAGTCCAGCTTCCACATATTTTTTAAAGAGGCCCTGACAGCATGTAGAGATATGCGACGTTTTGGTCCAAGTGCTTTTTGGCAATCGGTACAAAGTTTTTTGTTGGTACAAAAATATTTTCTTATCTGTCAAACAGCGTTCTCTTTGTGTTTCATAGATTCGAATAAAGAAATGGGGACACATGATGCATTCGTGACAGGCTTTTAGTGTCAAAACCCCTGAAAGTATTTTGTTACTAGCTTTGCTAAGTTGTCTGTTATGTGTAGACACAACACTGTTAAGTGGCTTAGCAAAAAAATAAATCCTCTAAAAATGACCAGGTACAAAAAAAATTCACTGGCTGCTTTTTCACACATTTTCAATGTCCAAAGAAAACCTTTGATAGACCTTCAGAAAGCGTGGAGAACTATTCTCAAGACCACTTTAAGAATTTTCAAGACATCCCGTCTCCTTGGAAGCAAAGTCTTAAGAAATGTGGTGTGGCTAAAGAAATTTTCACAGTGCTGTTCAGACCTGTAAAGATGCCTTCCATGTTGGTCCAAACACTGCCTATTGAAACAAGACTCTCCAATAAAGAAATCCTTGTGATTTTAGCCATTATCATCCAGACTTTGCAGAAATGTTACTGTGAACTAATGCTCTTCAAAAGAAAACAATATACTCATTTATATGCTGAGCATCAGAAACAAAGAACAGCTGCAAAGGTATTATTTGCACCAACATGTGGATGCGGCATTCCCTTTTTTCTTGTGCTTTCACCAGCGTCTGTGGTGCGGTGACATTGATCCACCTGCAGAGTGATGCGATGTGTTTTCTTAAGCCTTTCCTTTAAAATGTGTAAAATTTCAGAATTATAGTTTTTCCCCTCGTAAATAGATTGTTTCACCCAGCTCTGTAATTGAATTCCATACCTACAATGGCCCTATTATGCCACTGCAGTAACCAGCTACTCTTATTTTGATTCATGCTTTGTGCTCTGCCCATCGTTCTCTCCTCATTTCTCATTCTTTACCCCCCCCCCCCCAATCCCCTCCCTGTCTCTCACTCCCAGGGTGTCCGTGTGCGACGAAGACAAGCTGACACATAATGAGTTCATTGGGGAGTCTCGGGTGGCCCTGCGCCGTGTGAAGCCTGACCAGACCAAACACTTTAACATCTGTCTGGAGCATCCACCTCCTGTGAGAAGAACGAGGGGGAGAGGGGAAAAAAAGAAAGACAGAACCTATAAAACTAGGAAAAAGGAAAATATAAGCGTATAAGGGAGATGAATGCTACAGTAGGGGGTACAGCAGTATTTATTGAGGCATCCTGTCTGACTCACAGCTGTGAGTAAAGATGGGGGGTGCACAGAGAAAGAAGGGGATGAGGTGATGACAGAGGGTAACACACACCGGTCAGCCACAACAATAAAACCATCTGTAATATTGTGTAGCAACCCTTCATGTGAGTCACAACGGCCTTGACCAGTTGGGTCTCGGACAGAGGACCTCTGGAGGCGTCCTGCGGTGTCTGCTACCGGCGGTGCATCCTGCGTGCTGCAGGATGTGACTCATGATTGTTCTGGCGCTGGATCAGATGGGAGTCTGTGGGTTGGGCTGTCACTTTGGGCATTTTATTGTGTTACCCCAACTCATTCTTGGGCAGATTTGCAAAGTGACAGGATGTCCTATTTGGGAGAGCAGCTGCCATCGGGGAGCGCCACTGTCAGGTGTGGATGGTGTGCAAGTTTCAAGTGAGTGATAGGTGTCAAAATAACTTCCATACGAATGCCAGGACCCAAAGTTTCCCAGCAGAAAACTGCACTGTACTGAGATAATAAACCGTATCAGTTCATCCGTCAGTGGTTTTAATGTTGTGCCTGATCGATGTATCATTTCACTTGGATGAATATCACACATCTAGGTCTCATCGTATTTAAATAGAAAAAACAAGCAACATCTGTGCCATCTTTAGATTTATAAATCAATAACTGCATTTATAGAAATAAACTGTATTGCCAGTTTGTGAAAAATCCAATAACTTATTAAGCATTAATTCCATCCATTTTCTAAAAAGGCCCGTCTAGTTAAGGGTTGCAGAGCAGCTGGAGCCTATCCCAGCTGCCAGCGCATGGTGTGAAAGGACCGAGCGCTATAAGGTATTGATTAGGGAGAAAGAAAAGAAAGATGCGCTAATGATTTAGAAAAATGACCTCGAAGTTTTCAAATGTTAATACTGAATGCTGATGGCAAATCTGCACCCATGTTTTTCATGTTTATGAAAAAAAAAGTTACATTTAAAAATGTAAGACCCTAAACTCTTTCCACCTAGTTTTAAATCTGAATGACTGGGTTGGATAAAGCGCGGCTCTCGGTGGCTGTTGAAATTCATCCAACAAGTGTGGGAGAAGGTGAAGGTCAGGGCTCGGTGCCAGCCAGGCAACGTATTCCACAACAAACTGGGCAGCCCATTTATTTTAGAGCTCACTTTGTGCATAGGAACACAGAAAAAAGGCCTCTCCCAAACAGTTCCTGCAAAGTAGATAACAACATCGTATTATTGCGCAGCATCATTCAGTATGATAGTATCGCCAGCCTGCATGTAACTAGTAAAAACTTCAGCTTTAAGATGTGCTGAAGGTTCACACGGTCAATGTCACCGTGTTTCCTTTGGCTTAGTTTAACAGCACAGTGACAATACTGATCCATGCTGGCTGAAAATAAATCAATAAATCAGGTTGTGGCACAGCAGCTGCAAGTTCATCAATTATTTACATTTTCCGACTTGTCGTAATGATCTTATCTAGCAAACTTGAACGCTTTGTCCGCAAACAGAACGGCATTAATGAGCTGCTGTGCTCGGAAAAATCATTGGAAATAAAACCACTGCGCTCGGGATTCATCCAGGAGCATCAGAGCACTCGCTACATCGATCAGATAATTTTCTCAAAATATTCTTATGCTTCAATACATCAACCGTATTAGAGCAAATCTTCAGTTTTCCTGCTTAAATTGACAAATATTGCCCGACTGAACAGACATTAAAATTGTATCTTTTATTGTAATGAAATAAAAGACAGCAGCAGTCAGCATAATAATAACTACTTATCTACAGCTTACTGTATAACTTATATTTTACTTCAATAACAAAAGAGTTCTTTAAAAACTCTGCCACTTAAGCATTTCTTAATGTATGACTAAGTTGGCAAATTTATTATTATTGTTATCATTAGTAATTTGAATGTTACTTATTACCAAAACCTCTGGAAATTGATGATTTCGTTATGTGAAGTCTGAGATGATTTGTGCCTCCTTGGAATTACAAATACTTGATAAAGAAAGAAGTGGATTTGATTTCCACTCCCATGAGCCACAAATAGCTTTTCATGTAGGTTAAATGTCAACTGGGTCACATGTGGGGGGAAAAGAAAAAAAAGCTGCAAACACTGTGAGAATAAAAGGTGAGGAGAAAGAGCAGGAGAAGAGGGGGGGGCGGAGAATTGTCAATAGGCAGCAAGAGCAAGCCAGAGAGATGAGAAACAAATGGATTAAAAAATAAAAGTGGGGGCGGGGGTGTGCACAGGGGTCGGGGGCAGAGGTGTTAAAAGGGGTTGCGAGGGCGCTGGGTTTTGTTCTTTCTGAGCTGGGGAAGGCTGCTGGTATTGGACTGGCCCTCTGAGGCCGGTGCCCACTCTGCGATCAAACGCTAAAGCCTTTCTGTCATCCCGCGAACAGACGCTGTGTCAGGAATGTAATTTTCAAAGTGGCTCCCCTCTCCGCTCGATGCAGCCGTCCCTTTCTCTTTGCTCCTCCAACCTGCCTGCTTTTCAGGCATCTCCACCTCAATATTTACCTCTCTTCTTTTTTCTGCTCGACTCCAGCTGCCTTCACCAACTGCGATGAGCACAGCCCTGAGAGGAATCTCCTGCTACCTGCGAGAGGTGAACACCCTGAGTCCTCTGTCTGTTCTGTTCAACATGACCCTCCTCCTGTCTGTCCCCTCAGTCCATTTTTCATCCTGTCTTAAAGAACAACACCCATTTTTTATCTTCCACTTCCAAAACAGGGCGAAGTGACCTCCTGATACATTTGCATTTTTAGTGTTAAACTAGAAGCAGGGTAGTGATACATTTTTAAAAAACCTCTATAAAGTTAGTGATCTATATTTATCTGTAGTTAGCTAGAGCAGAAGTACATGTGCTTAATACTTATTTACTTTTCTATCCAATTTATCAGTATAAAAAATATTATCTTTGAAAATAATTACACAACAAATCAAACAAAGCTGTCGGAGTGGAAATAATTCAGCAGAGCTACGTTATTTCGAATCCAATCAAAATTTCATTTGTAAGCTGAAGAATGATTCTTTTTTATTTGTTCTTTTAAAAGCTGCATAAACTAAACTAACATGCACACACTGACTTTTACCCCTTAAGCTCTTAGCTGTTTTTTAAATGACCAGGGAAAAAAAAGCATTATCCCTAAATTTAGTCAGTCAGTGACAGCTGCAACACCGAAAGGCCAAAATGAGCAGCTCCTGGCTAAATAGATTTGATTCGCGTGGGGGAATTTTGAAATGCAGCATGCCTCCTTGTCCACACCAGACAGAGGGGTGGGGGAGTGCAGGAACGCTGACAACTCTTCCTAATCAAGTCTGTAAATTAGAGAGGAACACAACCGTGTAACAAGCCGTTAAATGTCGAGTTTACCGAATCCGTCCTGAAAATTCTCACTTAAACTCTTACAGCAGCAGAAATGAAGCAGAACAAATGCTTCCTCCGAGCGGCCTCTTCATCCGATCTGTTTGTGTGTTTGACAACCCTCAAAAAGTGAAAGCTACATCGCAGATATGAGACGCAGAATCCCAGCTGTGCAGGAAAAGAGTCGAGCTATGACGCAATCGAGAGCAGCCAAACTTTATGTTTCCAGTATTTCTTATCCTCACTGTCTGCAAATATCTCTCGATTATAGGTGTGTGGACATTTGGACAGTTGCACTGGTGAACTGGAAGAACAAGGTTTAGGGTAGTCTTCTGAGCAGGAGTGAAAAATTGCTGAAAGTCTGCTGTAACTAGTGCACTGTACAGTATTTTGTGTATATTCATGTTAACTATAATTTCTTTAAATTTTCTAGTTTGTCAACTAGAGAGGTATACTACCAACGACGTTCAACACAGTCAGGATTTATTTATGTTTGACAAGACCACAAATCCCTGGTGGAGATAACAGGCATCACATTGGTGGTTATCAGCTTTCTCTGTTAAGCTGGGTTCTCTGCAGAGGTCACATGACTCTTCTTGGGCACAAAATGATCCCTGTGAGTATCACCTACTCCAGAGATCTTATCAGTAAAATGGATCACTGTTACAAATAAAACGAGAGATTAATGCTGCAGCGAAGTCATTAATCTGGGGTTACATCACGCTGGGTGGTAAAATAGACACTTTAATTATTTTATCGATGAAAGCGATCTCGGTGCTGCTGTGGATTTCTGACATGACAGCTGCACATTACAGCTTTGAAACTTTAAACTGGATACTTTTAAACGTTAAACATGAGACATATTCAACCGATAGAGAATCAATATTGCACTTAAAACATGCTGTAAACAGAAGAATCAGTAAAAACGTGGAACCTGACCGGATTATGTGTTCAGCACAGCTACCACAGTGATTCAGCCAGGAAAAAGAGCCACTTAAACCCATTAACCTCGCTTGGTAGAACACCACTGCAGTTTCCCCCCTAAGTGGGATCTGTGCAACTTGTTTGTCGTCACTCGCTCTTTACCTTTACTGTTGGATTAGTTTAGATTCCAAAACTACTTGGTAAGAATTTGAAAAGGACTTTGGGGGTTAAAGCAGTTCTATTCACAACACTCACCCCAAACACTGAAAAACTACACTTAGGAGTATCAAGTGTATTTAAATCAAATGATAAAGGAATCCTAAATAAACGTCTTTGTGTGCTGCTCTGGGTTGCTACCTTTGCCCCTTCTTGCAAGTAAACTTATGCCAATATCATGCACTGACTACACTCTGGCTAAAATACATTGTTTAATTACTAAACACACGACGATGTGCTAAAGTAGACGCCACAGGCTACTGGTAATACAGTCCTGCTTTAAAGTGGACTTTATGCTCATCCCTGGATGTAGCTTTCCTATTTAAGCAGGCACACCTAAAGAGCTCATTGACTTTCATCTAACACTTGAGCTCATCTAAAGAGCTTAGATACAAACTTCAGGAGCGCTCTCAGTCCAACGGCAAAGACCCGTCCTGGACAAAGTGAAACATCAGCCTCTAAGTCATTTTACTTGGTCGCTCCCGGCTTTTGTATTTTCTATGGACAACATCAAATAGTTACCAAAGCGTTTGACAAGAAGCAGAACAACAGAATAGATTCAAAGTGACAGATGAAAGGAAGAAAGAAAGCAACAACCGAGGGTGAAGAAAGGGAAGACGGCGCTCTCACGGGCCCATGACTCACCCTCATGGCCAGCAGCAGCAGTACATGTACGTTATTTATAGGAAAGAAGCATTTGCTATTTTGGATTTGCATCGCTGTAGGTGCATTGATTTTCAAAAGCTGTCTTTGTTGGTGCGCCACAGATCTACCATTACTGTATCTCCACTAAACGTCTCCTGTAATATCTCTCCATCTCTCATTAAGTCTTATCTTCAGGCAAGAGGTGGAAACAGCAAAGGAGATCAATATGTCACACATACTGATCTCCTTCGAGATCCGCCCTCCCTTTTTTTAAAATAGTTTCAACAGCTTCGCCCCTTCTTGTCACCACGCTGCCTTTCCTGTCTCCCATGTTTTGTGTCTCTCTCTGAGACCAACAACCACTCTGCCATCTGTCGTCAGCAATCAGGGCACTTAAAAAAACTTGTAATTAGTGAGGATAATTTGCACCGGGTACCTGGTAAGGAAACAGCTCGGACCTTCACAGATCGATAGAGAGCAGCTCATTAGGGAGGTGGAAATCAACATACATCAAGTGTGGAGCCAGCTTCTCACAGGGCGACAGACAAATGGGAAGGAAATAAATTTGTGGGCGGGTTTGAAAGATGTGAGAACAGGCGGACTAATTGAACAGCCTTGAATGTGGTGAGAAACACAAGCTGGCCATTAAGAGAGAAGGAGAACTAGCTATACTATACTCCAAAACTGAGCCTGATTTTGTGATCATACATCAGTCATGGATATCAGATCAATACATGAGCGTTCATTTGAATCATGTTTCAGTGAGTCTGCACTGTTAGCTTTGCTTAGAACCAAGGCAGGAAACAGCTTCAAGGTAGGAAAAATCACTAATGAACCGTTACAGTCCATCACTCCAGTCCTAACACTCCTTAGAGCTTTGTTTAGCTCTCCACTCACTCCTGAGGGAAAATCTGGCTCCTTTGCTTCCAAACACACCACTCTGTTCACCAGTTTGCCGCTGACTGTCTGTCTGTATGTCATTTAGTGCTGCAGGGAGCATGCATCGAGCTTATCGGGCTGTTTCATTGTAAACAGCTGCTTTCTGTGGCTAGAAATAACGGTGATGAAAACAAAAGGGAGAAAAAAAAACCAATAAAGTCGTGGGGCCACTAAAACAATCAATAAGCCACAAGTTAGTGAAAGGCTCAGCAGGGCCGGAGTCAGCTGCTAATTCTTACACTGCACATTTAAAATCACACATAATGCAAAAAGCAGAACAAAACAAAAAAAACCTTATTGATTGCAGCAGATTTGAAGGTCGTGGAACAAAACTGCTGCCTCATTTTCATTATTGACCCTGAAGCTTAGGCCGAGTCACTAATGTGTGAACTACAAAGGCCGCTCGTTTGGCGTTTCTATGATTTTCATTTGTTTCTCTCTTTCAGTGGGAGACGGAGCAGCAGAGAAGTCTAGAGGAGAGAGGACGCTTGCTGCTCTGCCTCCAGTTCCTCCCGCCATCCACCGATGGCGACTTGAAGGGCGAGGCCAAGGAGAGAGCTCGTGGCGGACTGTGTGTGGGCGTCAAGCGCTGCGCCCATCTGGCAGCCATGGACGTCAACGGTTTCTCCGACCCCTACGTTAAAACGTAAGCACGCCATCAAGTCATGAATTTCATGAAGAGCCAAAATACTTTAGACCAAGCCTCCATGTCCTTGAACCGCCCCTGAAACGCTATTCTATTTTTCGATGGTCCAACCTACAGCAGCAACAAAGCCTCAGCAGTTTGCTTAAGTAACCCCTTAAATTTTAAGAGATCTCCACACACAAGGAGAACAGCAGGGATGTGGCAACCAGAAACCAGAGAATACCAGAAAAACTGAGCACCTCGTAGCAAAGATGGGAAAATAAACACCGGCATTGCGAAGTGGGCGCATACCTGCTTAGAGGCGAGGAACCAATGGGGCCGGGTACAGTATTCACTACTTTTCAGCATACCAACCAAATGGTGCTGGCTGCTACTGACTTTTATTCTCTATATCTGAAAATCCAAGGTGACTTCCTCATCAAGTTATCACTTAAGACTTTAATAAAACTTAATGTGTGAACGTTACGTTGAGATCACTGAAATTAGAACTCGTCAAAGGTTCGTGTTGCGAGTTTGCTCAGACAACAAATATTTTAAATGCAAAATCCAAAGGTGGTCATAGCAACACATCTAATCTGTGTGAAACACCTGGTCAAACACAAAGGTTTTATTCTGTATGGTGTGTATAATGTATGAAATAAATAACAAAATGCTTAAATATAGAAGCAGAAACTTATTTTTTAAGAGAATAATTATATGATGAAGTTGGCAATTTATTATTTCACCATGAGAAAGTACACACATACACACAAAAACTGTACAGTACAAATTTCCAGGTATCTGTTCGAATATGAAAAGGTACCTAATCCTAGCGACTATCAGTGGGAGCAAAAGATCCACTCGTGACATGGTATCTTTTATGATATTTGAATATTACTCGTGTTCACTAGCGACTTTCAGACAAACAAAAGCTGAGGTATAAACCTTTGATGTTTGCCTGGAATACTGTGATATTGGTGCAGGAGGTGATAATCACCAAAACATAAACACCTCTAACCTGTCATTTTGAAAGAGATATAGTAAGCGTATTGATTTGCTTGGTCAATAATATGAATTGCACTCGACTGGATTCAAATCTTGGCTGTCACTCTAAATGTACCTGCAGGCTAATCAATTAACCTCAGATCACTGCCCTCATAGTAACTCATATTAGAAATACACACACACACACACACACATCTGTACTTGCTGCAGGTGGTTGTGATGTCATACGTTATCAGCTTTACTAAAACAAATTGTCATCTCTTTAGCTACCTGTCTGTGATATTTAAGGACTTTATTTCTAATTATCAAGTCTTTAAAATTATTTTTAGTAATGCATACATTTAATTTAAAAAAATATGTATAAACATACTATTATCATCACACAACAATGCTCACACACACATTCTGATACATGAACACGTGACGCAGATCAGACTGATGGACTCACATGTCACGATCCTCGTTTCAGGACAATCTTCGTCTCCCTCCTTCAACACCTTAATACCTCAGGTTGGCTCTTGGCTCATACAGACCCTATAAATCACCTTTTGTTGCCACTCACGAGTGATCGATGGCTCGAGTTAACCTCACATCAGGTAACGATGAGGGATGAGTGCAGCTTTTCACACAAATAGAGGCCACTGGGAAATGTGTCACTCATTCATCACGATGACTATAAGACAACTATGAGACTGTATGGGTATTGACAGGCTTGAAACTGACTGAAAGGCAGTGACATGATCTAATGTTATGGGTGCGTTGGATCATGAGGAGGTCCAGGATTAGAAAAAAAAACCAGATGTGGGTGCTATTGTTGTCAGAGAGGTCCTCTGGAGATTCATTACTCACTGATGAAGACTGCGTGTGTCACTGTGTGTCTGTTTGTGTCTGTATCTGTTTTGAATGATGCAAACTGACATAAAGTGGACAAATGAGCTTTAAAAATCGCCCCTCGTCTCGTGTCAGTGTTTTCCTGAGTGCTGTTCTGGCTTTGAGGCTGTTTCTGCAATAAGTAAAACACTCCACAACCTCCCATCTCACACGCTCACACACACACATGGACGCGCACAAACGCAGAAATGCCAGCACACTCGCCTCACCTCACGCACAAACTAATCTCCCTTCCCTTTTCCCGTTATGCTTCAAACTCCGGTTTTCTCTCTCTCCCTCTTTACATGCACCAAACCTACGCATGCATCCCTCACACATCCACAGGAACACATCACGCATCTTGTTTCATTTTGGATGCGTGCTCACATCTTTGCCCTTTGGCGGGAGCATCTTCCCAGATGCTTTGTTGTGTCTGAGAGTGTGTGGGAACATACGCTCGAGCCCGAGCTGTGGGTGGTGGGTGGAAAGCAAATGTGAATAGAGATTTTTGCCACGCTGCTTCCAGCTGGCTTAAAAATATCCCGAGAATTTAATGACAGCTCGCAAAGGGAGGCTGTGAATTTACAATCTGTGCTGTGCTGGTGAAGGACATACTGATCAGTCCCCTCTGTGGGTTTAACAAATAATACATGAAACCTTCAGGGGATCGATGGGGGACTTGGATTAGAGAAGACTGATATCACTGTCTGTTCAATATGAAGCTACAGCTACCAGCTGGCGAGATTAGTGCAAAAAATAATAATCAGCTGATCTAATGCTTAGTAGCGCTTCAATATGGTGTATTCATTTAGAATAAAGAATGAAGTAAGAGTAACACAGCAATCACTGACTCTTTCCTCTTTCTCAACAGTTATAGAAAAATCATGATTTCCTCCTCTGACCTTTACAGCCGTGACTGTTATTCTTTCTTCCACTGCTTTGACATATGAACAGTAATGAATCGTATACACGACGGTAAAACATTCTTCTGTCACAGGTACCTGAAGCCAGACGTTCACAAGAAATCCAAGCACAAAACAGCGGTCATTAAAAAGACTCTCAACCCGGAGTTTAATGAGGTACACATCATCCACTTCAGTAATGACTGAAAGCGAAGGCGCAGCTCATTTAGAAGCTTTAAATGTACCCTCCAACCAGTTAGCTGCATTAAAGGTTTTCTGAGACTCGAGATCTTCTGACTGTTCACTCTGTCTTTACTCAGGAGTTTTTCTATGAGATCTCCTTCTCAGAATTAGCGACCAAGACGCTGGAGGTCACCGTGTGGGACTATGATTTAGGAAAATCCAATGACTTCATAGGTAAGTTCATGCCACGAGTGAGGCTACAGGTCATTTTTAGATGTTTAGCCTAAGATTCTTGCATTTGATTATATTTACTTCCACTTTTAAATCTCTTTTAAGGTAAAAAGTTTGAATTCTTCATTGCCATTTTTCTACATTTTTATTTTGCAAATCACATGAAGATGTCCGTCCATCCGTCCATGTTCTGCTGTTTTTCTGAGCAACAGTTTTAGCAGCGATGCCCAGACAGTGTTCCCAGTTACGTCCACCAGCTCTATGGGGGACAATGGGGCCAGCTGAGAGGTGTAATGTCCTGGGTCTACCCCGGGACATCCTCTGTAGGACATGCCCGAAACACCTCATCTAGGTGGCTTCCAGGAGGGATCCTGGTCAGATGCCTGAACCACCTCAACTGGCTCCTTTTAATATGGAGGAGCAGCGGCTCTACTCTGAGCCCCTTCCAAATAACCAGTCCCTAAAAGAGAGTCCAGACACGTGTAGGAGGAAGCTAATTTCTGCCACTTGTATCTGCAATCTTATTCTTTCGGTCACTACACAAAGCCTGTGATCGCAGGTGATGTTAGGAACGTGGATCGAGCGGTTCACCGACAGCTTTGCTTTCACACTCAGCTCTCACTGACCCAGAGTGGAGTGCCCATGGGCACTCCACCTATTTCCAGCTGAGGACCTTGACCTCAGACTCTGTTGTGCTAACAGCATAGGTAAAAGCAGAGATGAGATCCTGACACCAGCAAACCAAACGTCTTTTGTGGATAACAGTTCTGAACAGAAACAGTGACAAACATGCCCTAGTTCAAGACTTTCAGTACCAAACCTTCTTCTACTGAGGGTGTGAAAATGTTGCATAAAAATACAGTTTGTGGTATTTTTCTGATGGGCAGTCAGGTTGTGGGCATATGTTCCTCAAATTGGAACAATGGCATTTGTTAAGGATTATTTTCATATGGAAATGGATACACACTTTCCAAGCTCATGAGTCAAACTAACTACATCTCCCGACCTGAAATAATACGCACTCTAGGTGCTTCAACACATGTGAAAAACAAGATGGGGATTAGATCTAAAACTGGAGAGCCATTCACAATGGGCTGTTTGCAGGGGAACTTGACTCAGCCGTGTTCATTTTTCCCCTTTTTTACTTAGAAACCAATCCGGCTTGAAGTCTTTCTGCTTTTTCGCTTATTGTTCGTTATGCAAATGTCTTTTATTGCGGGTGTATTTTGGACAATGCTGTTTTTTCCCAACCCATTACCTAAGCTTTAAAAAAAAGAAAAGAGAAAGAAAGAAAGAAAGAAAAAACATTACTGACGTTTTAATTTTTCAGCACGATTAATGGCCAATCTGAACACACTTCATTAGACAAAGGTAAAAAATCTGTACAGCTCTAATTAGTACCTGATCAGAATTTTAAAAAAAACCATTAAAAGCCTGGAACATGAGGTTTCATTGGTGATCCTCTGTGTTTTAGACGTCTATTATAAATAAAATGGAATACAAAACAATACAAGACATATTCAGAAGCTGTGTGCTGGAGCTTGCTGTGCCTGCTCTTCTTGACCTCTGACTGTCTGCTCTGTTTCTGCTTTTGTAAGGGGGGGTATCCTTAGGGTGTCATTCACAGGGAGACACTCTGCAGCACTGGATAGACTGTCTGAAGAACAAGGGCAAGAAAGTGGAGCGCTGGCACACACTGACCAACGAGCTGCCCGGATCCACGCTGCAGGAATGAACCCGAGCTTCCTCCCCTATAACTGACACCAGAGGGACCGCCTGAAGACCCGGGATGAAGGACGTCTCATCGCATGTTTTAAGGATTGTTCTGCATGACTGTGACGGATCCATATCCTCCTTTGTGTCATAATTCAAAACATCATGCCCAGATAGGTGGGATGGGGTGGGGGGAGGGTTGTCCACAATCACAGATCAATACTCTAATCTCGGATCTAAACAGTCTCAACACAAAGCTGAAACCATTTTCTTCACAGTGCTGGCAAGCATTCACATCCTTTCAGTGCTTTAAGATCGGTCTAAATGCTCCTCGTGGACAGAGCCCACTCACGAAGAATAATTGCGCCGGGACGTTTGACGAGGGGAAATGTTTAATTATTCTCTCGCGCAGTCCCGCATGTCAGGTTTGCTTGCTCTTATTAAATTCATGACATTAAAACTCCGCGGTCATGCCCATCTGTCTCACAGCGCACATACCTCTCCGTGCAATAATGATTGCCTAATGCTTCCGAAGATATTTCCAAGTGGTCTTAATACTGGCGGATGTTTTTTTCCTCTGATCGTCACTGGATTGACAGCACGAGCTGATAAGCAAACTGGTTCTTCCACGTCGATGGTTCGTGTGTGATCTACTTGCATGTTCGGTGTTGATGGAGCAAACTTAAAAAAAAAGGAAAAAAAAAGGTTGGAAATATTCATCAACGTGTTGTTCCCTAGAAGAAACTGTATTTTATTTAACGGTAATGGCTCTTTAATGTTGTTCGCAGTTGTTTGACGTGTCAGCTCTGATATCGGTGTCGGTCGGTTTTGCTTCACGTTCCCTACTTTGTAAGGCCAACGTCAGTAACGGGAGTTTCACAGCAGCAGAGCGTTTTACGGCGAACCATGCATGACTGTACTCTGGCACAGTAAATAAAGTCACATGCCTTTGTTTCATATACAAATTGTAAATATGAACCGGTGTAGAGCGCTGTGCTTTATGGTGACTCCATGGCTGCTGCTTTACTGTCGACTGCTTTCAGCTGCAGGTTTTCTCTGTGTGGTGAACAGGCATGCTCACAATGCCATTGGTGTTAATATGTAAATATATGTGCGCTGTTTCACTTGTTTGGGATGTTTGTCTTTTGCAAAGCTTGCATGGTTGTTTTTATCTTTGTTTTAGTCCACAGTGGACTCCTTCAATCACACAGCCTGGTAGGAAGCCAGTAAAGCTAATACTGCCACCTGGTGTTGTTGAACTGTAAGTGCAGCCTCTTCTCTGACTACAGAGAGCAGAAGTGATCCATCAAATGTGTAAGGTGAAAGGAAACCAACACACACACCAACTTTCTGCTCCAGTAAACAATAACTGCAGCAATTAAAACATAAATTGAATCTTTACAAAATGTAATAAATACAACTGCAATTAAAAAAATGTTGCTGGGATGCTTTGTAAAATAAACAGAATTCAGTGATTTGCAAAGTTCGTTTTATTCACAGTAGATCATAGAAAACATGTGACATGTTTAAACTGAGGTATTTTACTACTTCAAGCAAAATATTAGTAATTTTGAATTCAGTGGCAGCAACATGTCTAAAAATTGGAATGGAAGCAGCTATGAAAGCTATACTGAAGAAGCCAAATGTGGGCAGGAGTCAGAAACACTGTTGTGGTGAGAGAGTGTCGATGCAGCGTGGAAAACTCTTCTGTGGTCAGACAAATCTAAATTTGAAATTCCTTTTGGCAAATATGGACGCTGCATCGTCCAGACTAAGACTAGATCGATGATCTGACTTGCTTGCATCTCTGATGGTTTGTGCATTAGTGCCTGTGAAATTGGTAGCTTGCACTGGATATATGATCAGTATATGAGTATTTACAGGTTTTAGAGCAGCATAAGCTCCAATCCAGATGACATGTTTGGCCTAGACATGGAAGGCCTAGAAGATTTCAGCAAGGCGATGCTAAATAGCATACTGCATGTATTTCAGCAGCATGGCATCACAGCAGAAGAGTCAGGGAGCTGAAGAAGCCTGCCCGCTATCCAGACCTTTCAACAACTCAAGCATTGGCTCATGGGCCCAGGACTGTTCAGCAGCTAGATCCATGTCAGATTATGATGGGACAAAAATCCATCAGCTGGTCTCCACTGTTCCCAGATGTCTATGAACTGTTGTTAAAGAGGAGGGGATGCTAAACAGCGGTAAACAAGACCCTCTCCCAACTTTTCTGAGACATGTTGCTGCCATAAAATTCAAAAATAACCTTTATTATTTCTTAATAATGGTACACTTTCTCTGTTTAAACATTTGCTGTTTTCTATGTTCTGTTGTGATTTATGAGATTCATTTATATTTGTAACATTTTGCACAGCTTTCCAACTTTTTTTTGTAAATTCAAATGCTGCTGAATTTATAGTGGGAAATATCTGCTGTAAAACGTATCTTTCTGGGTTTGAGTCTTGTGATTTTTACTATGCTTACTGACAATGAGAAAATGAAGCAATGAATCTACATTATTGCTTCAGTTTCAGTTCATTTCACTGTCAGCAGCTTTCAGTGAAAATCCTTACAAAAGCTCCAACCAGCAGCTCAGCACCGAACTGCACACAGACACACTTAACAGCTGGCTGGTGAGCAGAGTGGAGCTTTTAGCAGGAGAGCTGTTTTGTCCATTTAGGATTTAGGAGGAGGAGGAGCTGTAGTAATGCTATTTACCATCTTTTAGCTGTAGAACTGATTGGCCACTAGCATGTATGAAATAAACTACTTTCTCTCTGTGATGGCAGCGAGGTGAGGATCTTCAGTTTATCCACACAAGAGCATCGCCTTATTTTCTTTCCTTCCTTGGCTTCACGCAGATGCTCTGTGTGATCAGTGGAAGACTCTGGGCTCTAAAACAAAACAAAAATCCAAGTTCTGTTTCTTGTATCATTCTTTTGGGCAGATTATCTTAAAACTTATGACTCCTTCAACAGATTTGGGTTCACCGACATCACTGTAAGGGAGACTGCCGCACTTATGCGTTCCCACCGCCGTGCATTACAGTCCCCTTAGTGCAGTGTGGTTTTTCCTGCCATCACTGGCCTCAAAAAGCTTCTGCCTGTCTCTGCATGTTCTTTACAAATTTAATGAAAGGCATCTTATCCTTTAAACTTCTGAATTATTTCCATCCCTCTGTCAGATCTGGGTGGACTTTTATTTTATTCACTTATCGGATGAAGAAAGATAATAAATAAGATTTTGAAGCATTTCTTCTCATCCAGATCAAATTAGTTTACAGTATCATCATGACTTATTGAATGTTTCACTTGTTCCATTTGACAGGCAGGTGAGAGCCTAGCATTGAGACTTCCTTTTTATACCTTGTGTACCCGAGTTTGTGTGGGCAGGGCGCCCTGAGTGTTGACGTGAGCTAGCTGACTGACTCAGCATTACGGGCAGCGAGACAGAAGTTCATTCCAGATAATAACTGGGAAAAAAGGCTTCAGAGAAACACGTGAAGCTGCCAGCAGCTGTGCAGTTTGTGATTACTGTGCATTTTCTCCAGTAGCCTGAGCGAGAAAGAAGCTCTTTGTGAAATGAGATAAGGCTGCCACGGTTTCATCTTAGTCACTGTTTGTTCCTGGATCTGCTCGCACGTCAACACCATCACTGCTCTGTGATTACAGGAAATAAAATGGCTTTATTTTGGTGATTCTACTATTGCAAATACAGGTAACACGGTAAAAAGTCTAATACACTTTGTATAATGTGATTTTAGATTTAAATGATTTTCATAAGTCACTTTCCTCTAACAGCAGGGACACAATCAGGAAGGATTTACACTAAACAGTGACCTACTAATTTCCATATTGTATTGAACAAGTCTTCTTCTTGTTTTTTCACTTAAAGTCACTTAACACTGACCCAAGAATCATTTAAGCATAAAAACGGCACCCAGCTCAAGAGATGCACCAGTGCTGTGCCTACTCATAACAGACAACCAATTTAAAATGATCTGTTACTAGCAGGCATTATGCATTCTTGTCTCTTTAGTTGAGTCTATGAAAAATCTCAAACATAATACTGGTAACACAGATAACAGGTATAAAATAATACTTTTTGTGTTCTCCAGGAGCTATTAGACAAAACCCTAGCATGTCTCAGCATGGTGTGCAGCGTGTCCTTAAAAATGTGAGGAAAACTGACAAGTGGACGACAAACGGCAGGTCTAAGGCTGAAAGTCAGTGGCAACGGGTCTGATGGAGATGATGAAATCCTTGGTTCAAATCTTCATCAGTTTGTAGAGGTGGTAAGAAAAGATGTACAACAGTGACTGTCAAAATTTGTGGAATTATGAATTCAGAAAAGTACCATCAGCTTTTGATCCAACATGTGGTAACATCTGGAAAACATAGGCTTGGCAGCAGCTTAATTTTTCAGCATCACAATGATCCCAAACACACTGCCGAGGCAGTGAAAGAATACCTGAATAGAAAAAACAGTGGAGCACTATCAGTGACGGATTGGCCTCCCCAGAGGCAGTGAGGTGCAGTGAGAACAGGACAAAAGTCAGCCAACATCCAAAGAAGAGCATTCAATGTCCTTCAGGAAGCCTGGGGTCCATTTTTCTAGCAAAATATACATTTAAATAGAGTGTGGCTCACGATTTTCTCCACATTGCCATATTCACAAGCTAATGTAACCCCATATAAGCCTTAAAATAATCAAATTTTACCATCTATTCTCTACAAATGTAGCAAAGTACTTTTAAAGCTATCATCACTCTGTTCTGGTGGCGTCAAGTTATTTAAAATAGTTTCTATAAACAGGCATTTTCCAGCTGTAAGAAAAACATGAGCAAGTTTTTGCAGCTCATAGAAAAGAAAAGAAAAAAAAATCAAATCTCCTATTTTTGCCGAAGCTGCAAGAAAGAAAATTGGACTGCTGGTTTTGAGATCAAAACTGAGATTACTGTAAGGACAAAACAAAAAACAAAAGTGGAGGAGCATTTGAGGACATTAAAGTTTTAAACATCTGTGAGGCGAAACGAAGCCTCTCCTGGTGATAAAGAGGTTTAATTAAAAGCAAATGATCAGCAGTTAGCAGAGGCTCCATAAATAACATCTAAATGAAGCAGCCACCAGGTGTAAAACACCACAGTGGCATTTAGCGAGTCGATAGAAAGAGGAATTAAACTCAATAAAAAAAACTGTACAAAAATGTGAAAATAACAAATGTAAATTATGTTTGCATAAGGAAACTCCTTTAAAATTGAGTGTATTAGCCAAACCCAGATTGTGTCCTGTCTGTGGGGATTAGTGCCAGCAGAGCACACATAATGCAATATGAGAGCTGCTGTGTGGTCCTCTGAAAGGGCTGTGTGCTTGTATCATAACACTAATGCTTTTTATTAGGAAACTGCAAAGAAGCTGCTGAAAATAAAAGTGGGTAAGGATGAAAATTATCTCCGACGGTGCAAGCAAACTAAGATTTGTTCAAGAATATATATTTTTGGTGATTTTCCTGCAAAGGAGGACAACACTCCTCATGCACTTTTCACAATGATGAGCAGTTTCCATTACAGAGCCATTATGGGTGCATTACTGCCATCTAGCTGGGATTGTGATGAAAATTCAGAGGGTGCAGTTACAGCAGGGGGATGCTGGATGTGTGGCAGCAGTGCCGTACGGTAATAATGGGCCACACAAGGGCCTGAAGCTCCCAGTTTCTATTAAGAAGCATTTGTGTGAATATTATAAAAGTACTCAATGATAACCCAGTTCAAGAGTGGAACTGCACGGATTTAATCAATTCCAGCTTCTCTCATCTTCTCATGCTTGCTCATGGAAAACTTTGGAGATGGTTTTTGCTTTAAAGATGATCAAACTGTCCATGCAAAATATAAACAAAGGGCTTCAAATGGGAATCAGTACAAATGACGTTTCAAAAAAACTGCCTTTTCACCAGGCTCAGAGCAAGAAGTTAAATACAGTTTTTCATGCATCGGCTAATTTTGAGATTTTTGACTATTTTGCTTCCATAAAATGTTTTATTTTGTTCAGAATGCACAAAAAAGCCTAAAATAACAGTTAAATGTGTTTATTTTACTGCACAAACACTAAACAAAACATAACATCTTGATGATTTGGGGAGTTTCTTGGTGATATCTATCAGGCAGGCAAGCACTACGCTCAGCATATCCAGGCTTTCTTTACATTAGCTGGCTCAGCAAAACCTAAACGCTCTGTCAGAAATAACAGTCAACATGACAGTGGTTATCAACCTTTGTCGTTAATTCAGCTTCAGGCTCAGTGCACGCTCACATAAAAGGGCACTTAGAATCTCTTGCTGCACAAACGGCAGGAAAGTGGACCAAACTGAGCGTCGCCTGCTTCAGTCAGAGAAACAGCTATACAAGTAAAATGGCAAAAGGA